GTGAAGCCAAGTAACGACGCAATCAAGCAAGGAAGTCGCGGTGGGGGGTGGTGCATCAGCTGCCAAGAAAGCAAAGGCAAGTGCCACCACGACTGTCCTCCTCACTCCACTTTTTCGTGTTGTGGCGCTTGTTGTTTGGTGGAACGCGCGCACACCTGCACCGCACGCACCTTCCTGCCTTCCCTCACCTCGCTTCGTGCTTGCAGTTGGAGCTGTTGCTGCTGCTGCTGCTGCTGCTGCTGCTGCTGCCTGTGTGTTTGCGCCATGAGCTGGGTGTTTGCGTCGTTTGCGGATCGGCTGCCGGTCCCCATCTCCTGCGTCACCTCAACACGCGACTTTCGCTGGGTTTGCTGTGGTGCGTATGATTGCTTGTGCGTGATTGATGTGTGCGAACGTCTGATGTGACGCTTGAGTGCCATGGCTGTGACACCTGCTACTTTGTGCGTGGTTGCCTGCAGTTGGGTTGCTTGCGCCATGCTTTGTACTCTCCCTTTGCTTCTTGCTTCACCGTCAGTCCACTCACTCCTCTCCATTGACAACCCCCCCCCCCCAATCTTTCCAATCCCTTCACCCTTGCACAGCGGACGAGAGCGGGCGGTTCACGTTGGTGGATGCGGTCAAGTCGTTGAACGGCGAGGCCCTGCACAGCAGCGATGAGCTTGCCATGCCCTGTAAGCTGGCATGGTACGTGGTGCACCGGTGGTCGGCTGCAAGCGACCCCACACGCATCGCTATGCACAAGGAGGGTGTCTTCCTCCTCGCAGGCACCAAGACCGGGGACATCCAGCTCTGGGGCCTCCGCGTACACGACTTTACAAACGTCTACTCCGCCAAGCTGAACAAGGTCGGCGACACCGCAGTACGCTGGCCATGACCCTCTCTGTTGTCATCATCATCTTCTTGTTCATGTGCCGTGTTCCTGGAGCAAGCACGCTCCGTGGCGCCTTTCACCTGCACTTATTCTCACGTGCACGTGTTCACGTGGCGCTGCAGGCTGCCATCAGTGGTCTGGCACTGACAGACAATGACACAGCTGCAGTCGCAGTGTCGCAGCAGGGCGGCCTCAGCCGCATTGATCTCAACACGGGCGCCCTGCTCCCCGTCAGGTGTGTGTGTGTGTGTGTGTGTGTGTCTGTGTGTCTGTGTGTCTGTGTGTCTGTGTGTCTGTGTCTGTCTGTGTGTCTGTGTGTCTGTCTGTGTGTCTGTGTGACTGTGTGTGTGCATGCATGTCATGTGCATCCGCGTGTCTCACACAAAGACGGCTTTGCTACACACTATCTAACGCTCTCCTCCACCTCCTGTTTCACTCCAACCCCCACCCAAATTGCAGGGCTGCACAACACAACGGCATTGTGACAAACATGGCCTACACAGACAACACAGCGCTCACGTGCAGGTGTGGTGCCCAGTGCGTGCCAACACCATGTGTACGCAGATGCATGGGTCATCTACCTGCTTTGCCTTGACTCTAAATCACGCTTACGGCCTCTCTTTCTCCTCCTCCACCCTCATGCACATCCTGATTTGCATTCACACCCCACACAGTCTGGATGGCACGTGCAAGCTGTGGGATGTTCGAGCCACAGGAGCCGGCGACACAACCGACGCCGTATGTGCACTGGGGGTGTGGTGTTGTTGTGTCCTGTGTGTGTGTGTGTGTGTGTGTGTGTGTGTGTGTGTGTGTGTGTGTGTGTGTGTGTGTGTGTGTGTGTGTGAGTGATTGGAATTGGCTCATGCAGCACACACGCTCATGTACGTGCTCCCGTGACACGTGTGTGCAGAGCATGACGGTGCACGACGAAGAGGCGCGGTGGATATTGGACACGGTCTGGCACCCGGACGGCCACCGCTTCTCCCACGTCGACCGAAACAGCAGGTATCGGTGGCGTGGTGTCGTGATGGGGACGTGTAGCACTGTGCTGAGACTGGAGCATGTCGTTTGTGGCACGTCACACACACACACACACACACACACACACACACACACCCCCTCACACCCTCACACCCTCACACACACACACACACACACACACACACACACACACACACACACACACACACACACACACACACACACACACACACATACACACACACACACACACATCCTCACACACACACACACACACACCAGGGTGACGGTGTGGGACCGGCGCAACGCGTCTGCCCCCGTGCACTCCCGACGAATTGGACGACGAGCGGCACCTGCGTTCTGCGTTGCTGGGAACGATACGCACATGGCCGTCGGCACAGCCCGTGCGTCTTGCACTGCATTGTTGGTGATTTGTTTGGGTGTTTGTTGGGTGTTGTTGTTTTCTGTGCTGGTGTTGGACTTCAGCATCGTCACGTGTGTTTGCTCCTCATATGTTGTTGGAGAGACACGCCAGTCACCTGCTTGCCCTTTGTTGCTTGTGCCGTGCACTCACTGAGACACACACACACACACATACACACATATTGCAGTTGAGGGCGTGCATGTGTTGGATTGGGAGCTGAAGCCGGCGGCGAGGCTCGCGTGTGCGGTGAGATGATACACGCACACACGCACACACACACATGCACATGCATTGATGATTTACATACACGCACGCATGCCCTGTCACTCTACCTCTCCTGCTCACTCCAACCCTACAGCCACACACCTCAATTTCTCACCCAAACAAACGAACACTCACACGCACGCACACACACACACACACACACACTATCAACTGCAATCCTCCTTCCATCTCCCCCCTCCTCCACCACGTGCAACTGCCATGACCACCACCATCCAGAGCGCCGTCGCGAGCGTGGCGCTGTCAAGAGATTCGCGGTTCGCGTTCACGGGCTGCGGGACGGGCGGCTGGCCCATGCTGCTGCCACACGGGCACGCCATCGACACGCACCACGCCGTTGTTGCCGGGTACACGCACGCACATGCGTCCTCCCTCGCTGCTGTTATGTGTGCGTGTGTCTGTGTGTCTGTGTGGGTGTGGGTGTCTGTGTGTGTGTGTGTGTCTGTGTGTGGGTGGGTGTGTGTGTGTTTCGGGACCTTCGGTACCACTATCACCTCGTCACGTCACCACCTCACCACGTCACCACGTCACCACCTCGACCATTGCAGGTTTGACATGACGGCTGCGCTTGGGCTGAAGAAGGGCGGGCGCGAGCGAACGCTGAGCATGGAGGAGGTTGCACGCGGACAGGCGAAGCACCGGGCATACGAGCAACTCTACCTGTCCCCAACCTACACCAAGCGACAACAACAACAGCAGCAGGAACAGGGTGGCGACGGATGGGGTGATGATGTGGTAGAGGCCAGGAGCGGTGCAGACGAGGAGGAAGAAGAGGAGGAGCAGGGCCAGGGAAATGGGGAGGGCGGTGCTTGCAAGCATTCCCTGCAAGCAACAGCATCGACAACAACAAAAGGAATGGACGGAGGGAATGCCGTGGCGACGACAGCAACAGCACCAGCAGCAGCGACAAGCGAAGGCGGCAGTAGTGCAAGTGGTGGTGGATATGTTGTGCCGGACGATGACGATGCGCCGCTGGTTAAGCGACCAAAGCCCATGGTGGCGTCTGCTTCCACACACGCGCACGGGCATGGACATGGACACGGAGGGGCAAGTGGACCGTTCTTCCACCATGGGGAAGGACAGCCAGCGGTGTCGCTCGGCGGCGACACGGTCGCACCAGCAACATCTGTCACACCATCAACGACAACGACAACGGCGACAACAGTTTCCGATTTGCATATGTTTGGAGGGTTTCACGATGACACCACGCAAGAGAGCGACATGCTTGGGTTTGGAGACGGGAGCAGGGGCAGCTCTGTGATGGGACACGCCGTCCACACGCACGGCGAGCACGATGTTGCGTCCATGCATGCGCACATGAGCGAGCACAGTCACAACTCTGACATTTTCGCCGGCCTGGACGACAATTCCTCCAACTTGCACAGCAACCACGCCATGGACACGGATCACGGCGCCACATTGCCACCCGCGCACACGCACATGTTCACGCACGGCGACAACAACGGTGATGATCATGGTGATGGCAACAATGGAGACGCGTCGTTTGGTGGATCGCTGTTTGGGCACGCGACTGGTCGGCACGCCCTCGGTAGCGGTAGCAGTGGCAGTCGCTCGCCCGCTGTTCCAGACGCACTCGCACCAGACTTTGACATGCTCGGGTGATGTGGTCAATTGTGTGTGTGTGTTGTGTTGTGTTGTGTTGTGTGTGCAAGTGTGTGTATTCTTGCATATCTGTGTGTGCATATCTGTGTGAGTGTGTGCAAACGTGAACACGTGTGTGTCCTCGTTTGATGATTAGCTGATTGTTGCGATTAGACAAGCAAGACCTGAGTGCGTGAGGCGAAGTGTGGCGTGCTGCTGTGCTTGCACTGTGCAATGCATCACACGTGTGACCTTGTAGAACCCCGTAAACCACCGACATGCAAATGAAACAACCGCTTGTACGGGCTGGTGCTCATACTCGCTTGCTCACATTCGACACCGGGTTAGTTTACTCTGCAAAGCTGTTCCGTTCTGAACAAGGAAGCGACGGGGAAGATGGAGGGGGGAGGGGGAACAGACAGAGACAGACACAGAGACAGGAAGTGGAGAGATGGGGAAGGGGAGTTGATGCTTATGCAGGATGAGCGCATGCATGTGGACTCTAGTGGTGCAAAGGTTGCGGCTGTGTGTGTGTATGTGTATGTGTGTGTGTGTGTGTGTGTGTGTGTGTGTGTGTGTGTGTGTCAGTTTGCCCTGCGCCTGAGCGGGTCCGCAATCTTGATGGGCACAGAGCCGTCCTTTGGCGGCGGAATCGGCTGGAACGACGGGCTCACGTACGACTCCTGAACAGCAAGGCAAGTGGGCAGTGGGCACATGGTCAGTGAGCGCAGTGAAGCGAAGAACAGACACGGCAATCCGCGTTTGGGAAGTGACAATGATGACACACACGCGCGCACACACACACGCATACACACAAATAAACAAACAAACAAACAAACAAACAAACAACAGAAGCAGCAGCAATCGCAGTAACAGCCGGTGTGTGGTGTGCTATCGCACCTTATCTGGGCGGTCGCGAAGATAGTAGAGCTTTGCACGGCGGCGGCGGGCGAGCTCAAGCACCTCAATCTTGGCAATGAGCGGCGAGTACAGGTCAAACTTGGCCTCAAAGGCAACGCCTTCGTCCACGTTGCGGATGGTGAAGACAGACCCGAGCTTGGCGTTGCGCCGCCCAATGCACAGGCCAACCTACCGACAAAAAGATGGGGTACACGCGTGTGTTTGGTGTGTTTGGTGTGTGTGTGTGTGTGTGTGTGTGTGCAAGGGTGGTGGAAGTTTTGAGGGAATGTCATGCAACACAGCTTTACACCACACGCACACGCACACATACGCACATAAGCACAGACGCATACGCACAGACGCAAGCACACATGCACATGCACGCATGCACGCACCATGCGTTTGGGTGTGTTGCGGCTGAGGGCTTCGTAGTATGTGACGCGCAGGATGCTGCCGGGGTAAAATTCGGGAATGGGGTTATCCTGGGTGCGGAGATACATCTCCTCCCGCTCAACAGCGGTCAGCACATCGCACTTGAGAGCCTTGGAGAGTAAAGGACAACGAGGGAAGGGAGGGCAACGTGTGAGGTGACGCACAACCAATGCTTCTGTTCGCAAGATGGCCTGGAACTGTCCCCACACACACGCGCGCGCACACGCGCACGCACACACACACGCACACAAACGCACGTACACACACACACACACACACACACACACACAAATGTGCAGTACCTTTGGCGAAAAGTCCTTTGCCTTCTCCGGCTTGCTGGTTTGCTGGCGTTCGGCCTGTGCCTGTGCAGCAGCTTGTCTCTTCTCCAACAACATCTGACGCTTCTTACTCCGACCTGGCCACAAGCAACACCACCACGCAGCATGAGTTGGAGCGACGCAGATACAAGTACAAATGCAAACACGAATGCACACAAGTACGAATGCGAATGCGAATGCGAATGCGAATGCACACAAGTACGAATACGAATGCGAATGCGAATGCTAACACACACACACACACACACACACACACACACACACACACACACACACACACACACACACACAATCACACAATCACACACGCACACACGCACCCACACGCACACACAAACACACACACACACACAAGCACGCACACAACGGACACGCAAACACACCGGGTGGACCGTCGCTGGCACCAGCCTTCTTCTTCTTTTTGTTGCCGGCCTTCTTTGAGGCATATCGCCGAGCCGACGCCAACACCGCAGGCTCTTTGTACAGTGGCAGCAACGATGATGACGACGACCATGGTGATGACGACGGCCTGGCAACTGCCAAGCATGTGCACAGGGATGAGGACGCCCTCGTTGCAACCGTTGCCGCGACCCCACTGAACCCTGTCACTGTCTGCTCATCAAACCGCACTGCTGCTGCCGTCACAGGAGCAGCCGCACGCCGCGCCAGCACGACCCCGGTTCTCGCCGTCGCCGCTGTCACCAGTGCCCGCTGCTGGCTGCGCACCAACACGCCACGAGCAGCACCCCCCATCACCCTCATCCTCATCGCCAGCATCCTACTTCACTGCTTGATTCAGGTCGAAAATCTACGACTCGTGGCGCTGAAAGCAAAATGTGCGGCTAGTGCGCACTTATTTCGTGTCAGCGCTGATATCCACCACCATGAGGTTGGCAATACGGACAACCCCAGCGATGCTGCTGGCTCGTCGCTGGTGTGCCAGTGCACGCTGCACACCACTGAGGCCAGCTGGCACACGCACAGCAGCACAGCCGCCTTGTGCGGTGTCTTTGCAGACACACGGGATTGCCCGGGGGTGCGGCCGCGCTGTTGTGATGCCACACGTGCACCGCCGCAGCATGCACGATGAGCCGTCACTGAAGGACGAGGCTGTGCGCGCATATCTGGACCGCGTGTTGGAGCGGAGGCGCGATCTGCAGACCACTATCGTCCGCCTGGCAGAGGTCACCCACTTGCGCATGCACAGGCGTTCTCGTGTTCGTTGTGTCCCCAGCTCGGTGGCCCATTCATTCGAAGAGCCTTTCTCAATGCGGAAGCGCTGCACGCGAGCTCACACAAGCAATCGCCACATGCATGTCCACTGACAGGAAGGTGATTCTGAAAGCGTCGTGGAGAAGACGCAGCTGCTAGCAAAGACAGACGCGCTGGCCGAGGCTGCCAGTGCCTGGTTTGATCTCTCCAAGGTGCGTGCATGTGTGTGTGTGTGTGTGTGTATGTGGGCGGGAGGGGTTTGCGTGAGTGGTGCTCACTATTCACCATTCGCCATCACCATTCACCGTTCACCATTCGCCATCGCCATTCACCATGCACCATTCTGCACCATCACCACTTCCTCTCACTAGGAAATGGAGGAGCTTGAACACATGCAAAGAACAGAGACGGATCCCGATCTCAAAGCAATGGCTGTCAGCGAGCTCAAGTGAGATGCG